AAAATGGCAATATATTTATATTTAAATAACAACGACACGGTATTCATTGGAAATTTTTAATTGCCTAATTTACAAAAAAATTAAAAAAAATTCACCCCTGATTTAGCAATATATTTAACCTGTCCCGGTTCCATGATTGCAGGTTCTTCAGAATCCATAAGGCTGTCCATGAATAATTTACGATGTAAGGTTATACAAATTTTTATATTTCTCATGCCTCTAAATAATTAAATACTTACGAATGTCAATACCTGAGGCCTCGACGACATCATTAACGCAAAATATATTATCGTGATCACTGTCTTCATCCTCCGTAGTCCGCTGATAAGAACAATCAGAGGAAACCGATTCAACATCAGAATCTGACATTTTTTATAGTTTTAACAATAAAGTTTTAAAAAACGATTTTATCTTCTTAAAATTATTGCAGATGATTGGAACAATAAATGCGCCGGCAACAAGTATAACTTTGCCCCGTTTTTTTTATTCTTATTTTTTTTAGGTTATTCTATAATTATTTATGTGCTCACATTGATTTGCCTTAATACAATAATTGTTAATATCATACGCAGAAAATAAGTTTGTTTGAATATTCAAAATTACTTCAAATATTAAAATATATTGTTAATTTCTAGCTTTACAACTACGTAAAAATTATTTCACAACCACAATAGATAAGGACATTAAAATATTTTTACTTTTTTTGCATAATAATTTTGGAGAAATTATTAATTAATTATAATAATTAGCCTGCACATAACAGGTTATAAAATTAAGAGTCGACTGCACTTAGCAAGTTATAAAATTAAGAGTCGACTGCACTTAGCAAGTTATAAAATTAGGAGTCGACTGCACTTAGCAGGTTGTAGAATTAGTACGACGATATGTGTACAATTTCTCACAAGGAATCTCTCATGTCTGACTCTTATATTCCAAGTTTATGTTACAAGTTTTACTCGCAACACAAATTGCAGTGGATGCTCTGGTGAGAATTTCCCCCCAATTTTTCCATGCCCGCTGAACTTGTCCATAATACCTATTAAAAACTCAACACTTTAATATATAAAGATTTTAGTCTTACACAATGCCTTCCCTCCCCCCCACGTCCCGGCTTTCGTGGAAACTGCGCTTCCGCAAACTAATATTAATGTAAATATGACATCTCGTTGGAGTGGCTGGATTGGCTTCATTACATATTTCTTTGTATGTATGTATGTATGATGGCTTTATTTAATCCCTTCTAAGGCATTGCCCATAGGGATACAATATAAATTTAAAACAATTCATAGTACAATAATACAGGGTTGTCAGGGTTGTCAACCCTGACAATAAGTTCATACATATTTCTTTGTAATCTAGGTAGAAATTATGTAAATTATTCATATTGATTTACGTAACTTCATGAATCGTAAGTATTTCTCTATTTTACACGGTCTCCAATCTATTTGAGATCTATCTAAATGTGAAAAATAAGTGTATAACAAACTTAACTGAATTATCGATGCGTGTTGATCGAGAGGATGGACATCCCCACATAAATCTTAACAACAAAACGTCAAATATGTATTCCAACCCAATTCGTGTCCCACGTGTGGTGTGTGATTTTCGCTATGAAATATTCTATCAATAAATAAACGTGGTCACAGTAAGAGAGGATACATTCAAAATGGTTGCTCCATCTGATGCTGGGTTGACATACTTATATATTTCAGTAATTTATGGAATTAATTATTTAGACATCTGTTTAGATGTAGACATGTCATTTAAAGAAACTTATTGCCAGTAATCCTACATTTATGTCAACGTATGACGGCGTCACAGAATTCTTTATATCTGCGTTGACATAATTCTACTGATGTAGAAATTATAGCACTTTCTGTCAATTCAATTCATGAAATTTTCCGTTAATTAAATATTAACGCATACTGATCGCAAGTATATCCTTTATAGACCATAGCTCGCAATGGACCATGGTCCATATGGACCATGTCATAAGATGGTCCTCGATGGACCGTGGACCATGAACCACTTTTGAGATGGTCCATCGATGGATCATGGACCATTGACCATTTTGGAGATGGTCCATCGATGGACCATGGACCGTGGACCATTTTTTAGATGGTCCATCGATGGACCATGGACCATGGACCATTTTTTAGATGGTCCATGGGCAATGGACCATTTTTGAAGTGGTCCATCGATGTCCCATGGACCATGGATTATATGCTGATAGACCATGGACAGGGATCATATGCTAATGGACCATGGACATTTTATTACCAGCTATGTTATAGACACGGCTCCATAATCTCCAGACAGAAATTCGGCAACGGTGGTAAAACTGTTTACCCCTCGGTTAAACTGACGTATAGAAAAGTTCCCTTTCAACTTGAATAGGATTAATTTGGCAAATGTCATCTTCATACTTCGGTTTAGTAATGTTAGTCCAAGGTGGAATATGTATGAGGCGTTACATATTATTTTGTCAGATTATTTGTGCATAATGTAAAATTATTAACGAGATTATGCCTGAAACCTTAAGTTACATAGTACTGTACCCGATTGTCTGCCGGTTGCAAAAATATGAAATGTTGTCAAAAATGAAGATCAGAATTGGCTTTGTGTTGGTTTAGTGGACACTTAATGCTACCGACCGATGTTTGTACCAGAGTTTATAGCCAGAGAATGTCTTCTAATACCACGCACTTGTTGGTGTAACCCAATACAAAAGGATTTTCATGGAATTTTATTACTTTATAAAGACGACAAGTCATTCCGGGAGGTCAAGCAAACAGAATTTAATTAAGATCGTAATACGTACATACTTAAACATGTAGTACATACTAATTAAATTATTGTATTCATAATTAATTTTAACATTCTTCTATTCCTCTAATGAAAGCTGCGAGTGCAATTTAGTTCCTAATGAAATGTTGGACGGACAACGAGACAACTAATTTTAAACGATTTCTTTCCAACTGGTTTGCAATCTCTCTTTAAAATCCAAATATTGACTTCCTTTACAATGTACCGAATCACGTTTCTCCCCATTTTGAAACGACACTTATCAATATGTAAAATCCTGAAGTGTTTTCCATTTGAATTTGACACAGTCGCAAAAACCTTTAAAAGAACAGGATCCGTCAGTCACCAAAAATTGTTCAGGCTACAATGTCTACTATCCATCTTACTCTTGCCAACTATGTTGCTCAATTTGAGCTTCGGACACTTCACAACGCCCGAAATGTGTCATTCTTTTCATTGGCATTCTTTTTCATGTATCTCCTGGCTGGGGCTATCCGATGGAATTACAATATGGACAATACCGCTATCCAAGTGCTTAATGGCTTCCTGGAGTTTGAAAACGAAAGTAGGTTAATGACAAAATTTTATAAATTTCTTTCAGACACTAAAACCTGCCCTTCTTGATCAATACAATCTTAACTTGAAGATATATTTAGCGCTTCTTTAAAATTCAAGTCATGCTTCTCAGTTAGGGAAAATTAAGTATTTAAAAATTATTCACCGTTGTGAGAAAAATAAAAAAAATAAAAAAAAAATATTCTGTTTTAAAATTGTATAGCTCAACACCGGAACACCAAGCCTTCCACGTTAGTCGATATAATGGCCAAATTCATTTGGCTTGTGGAATTGTCCTGTCCGTTGGTTTCACTGCTCCAACTCGCTTTACTGGTCTATGTACCCTGTATGCCACCATTCATCTTATCAATGATACCATGCTGTAAATCTGGAGAGATGTTACGTTCGTACCTGCAAGTAATATTTGAACTTGGGATTCATGTTTTCGAATCTTGGATACTTTTGCATACCGTCACATCCGCGGCATCTCTGCTTCTATACGTCTTCTTTGCCGGAATTGTATGTCTTCTGAAGTATCTCGAAGCACTGAAAGGGTAACCGTAACTAATTCTGTTACATATTTATTAAGATATTTTGAAAATCCAATGAACTAAACAATTTTGTTTTAAAGAGATATTCAGGCAACCCTGATAGGGCAAGATGTAGCACCTTGTATTTTGGCATACCGGAAAATTCAAATCCTGGAAAAATCTTTCAACTCAGCTCTGATGGGACGAGTTGTCCCTGCTCTATTGCTTTGTGCGCCATCTATCCAAATTCTTGGTATGTACGTCTGTATCAATCTCCGAGAGGAAATCCCGATGCCTGGATTTCTCATATTTCCCCTAATGGGGGTGACTGCACTATATCTATATCATTCGTATCAGCAGGGGTATCGTATCATTCGTATTCGTATCAGCAGGGGTATTCTGAGACGACATATTTTATCCTGCTATGCGCTGAAAGTAAAATTTGGCTCCAATTTTACGGACCGCGGGACGGCGTTGGTTATTCAAAATTTTTGCCTACATCAAACAGTGTCACTAACCTTGATAAATAGGTTTTAAACTTATGGCGCATTCTTGATACTTCCGTGCTAACTCCCCGTGTAACCAGCGACTCACTTTCTAGAAAATATGTAATTGCACAACTGCATATTTACAGTTACATCAATAGTCGGTAATGCTGATGGTGTATTTATACTTAAGTATCACTTGCATATTCACACATTACACGCGGATATATGTAACTAAATTACTACAACTACATACATGCATTGTTAGTTCGCCTCTTCCATAGGACATACATATGTAAATAAATACGTGTTCTCAGATAATTTACTATAAGATACTGTCAAAACTATTTAATAAACTATTTATGCAAATAAATATGAATCATAAATCCTATCCAACCCACTAATTATAAAAAAATATCTAACTATATACATACATATTACAAGCACTTATACAATCAATAAAAAGTTCTACTAACTAATCAGTAACTGACAATTTACTTATATAACTGTGAGTTATTAATTGAGGTTAGTAAATTGCAATGAACGGTACCAAGTAAACGAAAAGTTCATGGATTTATTTGCTAACAATTTTGATCAATTATTTATTATCTCAACTTTCATGGAACACATTAATAATAAGTTATTTATTTTAACTCAAATGAATTTCATGCTACACATTTAATTATGCTAGAAAAGAAGTAATATCTCTAATTCCAGGAAATTGATGACGCTCGACAATTTATTCGCAATAATGTCAAACCCGTCAACGAGTTCGTTTATTTATTTCACATCTGTTTTCCCATTTCCATATGTACCTACGTTTCCTTTGAGATAATTTATAATGACTTAATTCCCTGAACTGTCTGCAACCACATTTTCCAATTTTCCATTTTCCAGCGGATATATATACATCCTTCTAAATATGTAAGCGTAGTTATTAGATAAGATAATAATTTATTTGGTCGTCACTGAGGCAGCTTCGGGCCCATGACGATACAATTATTAGAGGGATTTTGAATTATACTAAAGTGTTCCAGACGGATGCACATTTCCAAAATATTTTCTAGATACAGACTAGTTATTCATTCTACATAAAAGTAAATGACTACGGGGTGGTTGTATAATTTTGTGTAAAGTGAGAAATAGTGTAACTGTTCTGTTGAGATGTAGGGCTGCATAGGCAGAAGAAAGGGTTCGTTCTTCATGGGATCTGGCTGGGTTTTGGTTGCCTGGTGGTCACGCTGGTGGGGGGCATGACGTCCATAATTGACAATTTCCTGACGGCGGGGTTGGGAACGGGGAAGTCGGTGTGTCTGGATCACTCCATCGTGGCAGATATATTGTGGCAGTCAGGAAAAGGAAGACAAGGCAGATTGTTTGGGTGATGTTGAATTTTTTAACGCTTTCGTGAACTTGCACTTGATGTTTTGCTGATGCAAAGTATTAGCTCATTTGGCGAATAGGGGTGCGGCCATCGTTCAAATAAGTTATTATTTGTTAATTGATTGAATTCAACGTATTATTGTGATAAAATTATGTGATTATAAAATGTTGGTGTAAAATAGACTATGATACGATTGAGGATTTCCCACTGATCCTAGTAAATTCTTATTATTATTATATCATTATTATTATTATATTTAAGAGTTATTGTAAAAATGACACAAAAATATCAGCAACCAAATATTTTCAACTTTTCACGCATGCACACGAGTAATACACTCCACATTTAAATGATACACACATATCAAGATCGTATCGAAATTCAGCGCTACTTTTCCTAACCGTGCAAATCTCTATAATCAAAATAGCCAGGGCTGCAAATGCTATCATACCACAGAATGCAAAAGCATAACGCACTGATTCAATTGACACAGTTTCATTTTCAACAAAAACAATTTCTCTCGTTAAACCAAACATTGCTTTAGCAAGTAACATTTTAAAATCTCGTGCAGTCACGATATTTTCCGCAATCCATAAAAACGTTCCCGTCCTCACACCCTTCAACCACTTGTTGTAAATTCCACTATGTTCTAATCGCTTTAATATGTTTTCATACAACAAAATTATGAAAGACTTGTCACCACTCCAAACCACTTGTTCAGATAGAGCCGTAATTTCCTCAATTTTCCGAATATAAGCTGTCTTTCGAAATATGCTTACCGAAGCCAGAAAAGAATCCAACCTTTCTTCAAAGTCCGACATCACATATACAGTAGGATCCACCAAGTAGTTACCCATACCATGTGACGAAGAAATCCTTTCCCCTTGACAAATAGATTTGGCAGCATCAATTGGATTTATTTCCAAAACTTTAGTCGTACTGGCAAGTTTGGATAATTCCTTTTTCCTCAATTTGGAGAGGTCTCCGTCAATTAACACATTTCTTACCCCAGCCTCAACACCGGATTCATATCCACTAGTTGACCTTACTACATGTGTAGAATAAATTGGAATTCTCTCGGTCAAAATTCCATTCAAAGTTGTCGGTAAGGTTGGCGGACATACAGCTGCCAGGAAGGAGTAGAGGCCACCAGAGTAAACCAACCCAAGAAAAAATGAGAAAAGCTGCCAGGTGATTAGCCAAAATGAAAGCTGTCTTGCGTAATTTCTAAATTCAACGCAACCATTCTCAACGTGCCCCATAAGAGCTGAGGTTGTCCAAAAGAGCTTTCCAGTTAGATTTGTCAGCAAGGATTTCATGAATTTTAATCGGAATTCTACTTTTTTACCTCTGAAAGTGAAAGCGACAAAGGTACAATTTACTAAAAATAGACTAATGCCAGAGAAAACCCAAGTTTCCTTGTCAATAGGCATTAGCAGGGTTTCAAATCTCATCGGCACCCTATAAGAGGCGACGGTTGCCATTTGAAATCTTTCGTACGTTGCTCCATGCAGCAAGATGGATCCCCTTATACCCAAAGAGGCCACCTGCTGTGCCTGGAATACTAAAAAATTGTTTGTAAAGTAAATATTATTAGGTAGTTCGAACATCCTTTTGTAACTTCGCGATATCTGACTGGTATAATTGTACTTTATTCCGACAGCTAGATGTACGCAACTAGATGAATCCAACTGGACACCTAATTTTCTAGAAATGGGGTTGCATTTAGAATATTTCTGCTGCAATGCTGACATTGTTGACTCTTCAAGTACCGTACTCTTGACGATTGTTTTCCCTTGAAAATTTGCATAGTGTTCAAACCAAATCTTATCCAAATATTTTTTATTTGGTACAATTATGGACTCGGGTAACTTTATTGGTACGTGGTACCCATCACAGTAGAAACAAAACATAGAGATCTTAGTGGCTTTAGTAAAAAGTAAAATTTTAGAAATTATTGTTGTCCAGTGAGCTATAACTTCTAAAGCATATGTCCTATGCCAGCTCTGAACTTTAATAAATATATATTCGGAATCCCTTACAAGATATGAAAACCTTGCCAAAATTTCGGATAATTGTTCCCATTTACTTTGGATTATGGTTGTTACACAGTCAGAATATTTTCGGGAGAAGTCATACTTTATAAATAACGTATCTAAACTAGGTGAGTCAATTCTTATTAGTCCACTACCATTTATCCAATAAGACGGAGAATTAATAACTACAGGAGTGTCAGACGTATAATTGTTGGAACGTATCTCTTCAAATTCATTCCATTCTAAGTAAAATCCGCTACCGAAATCATTCGTCTCTGGGAGAATGAAATGAAGAATGCATTGGGAAAATATGTTTGGATACGAGAAGGAAAAACAGATTGCTGTTTTTAGGAAACCGTATTGTACAAAAATATAGGGTAGCAAAAGATTTTTTTCTGTGAACAATTTTGAACTCATAGTTATAGATTAAGATATTTTTTGTTTAACTGAGAACTGTTGAAGGAAACCACAACGTCATAATGAAAGAAATTGTCTAAAACTGAATACAAATTTACTTCTGGCCCAATAGTTTGCTCACGAGTAATTATTCAAAAGTCCAACCTTGAGAAATCTATAATTACTACCTCAGTTTTAAAGCTAATCCAGCTCAACGAAAACTTTCACATTACGGGAAGGCCGACAACAGTAAAATGATGCTGGCAATCCGGCGGTGAATACAATATTTTGCACGCAAGATAAATAATTAAGAAACCTGTAGTCTCGAGCTTCGTGTTCAGGTGCAAGGAAAATATGTCCTGCTGAGATCCTGTAGATTTTCCTTAAGTGAATTGAAAAATATTCTGACGCAAATGAAGGCATGTGTGTGCACATTCGTGCTCCAAGGTTAAGTATGTTGATAACTATTGCAACCGTGGGGGCATTGGCGTATATATTTAGGATATAGGTACATACCATTATACGTATCATACATATATACGTTATATCTCGTACACGTACATAGACACCTTTCTTATGAAAACGGTTGACGACAATGTCCTGCAGAATCGTCATTTCTCAGCAGTAGTAAATAAAAAATGAGTTGCTTATAGTGTTACGAGAAAACGAGCACTTTAAACCCTTTTGTGATGTGTCAACCTTTTACGTAAATGGGAAGCAGTTTTTCTCGCATTTCTGCTGAAACTGGTTTAAGTCCCATGACGCCTACTATCCCTCACTATAACTATTTGGTGAGTTCATCGTAGCATTTCTCCTAAGTAGATTGTCGTACCGGAAGTTGGCTGGGCAAGGACGGGTAGTGGGGAGGCACCCCCAGAGCCACGGTCATCCATACCAACGACACCCACCGAGCCGCAATTACCGCATTCACACGGGTGTGCAAAATGAATGCTCGCAAGTCAAAGCACTAGCAGGGATCGAACCTGTGACGCCCAATTAAGGGTAGCTCGGCTCTCAACGCTCTGCCACTCCGACTCACTGCAGTGGGTGCACCGCATTCGACATTTCCAACTTGATGTCAGATGGGTAGCCTGTGATATGATTTTTTTAAATTTTACATATTTCCAACACTGCATGAACATCAACTAACGATTCATTATCAGGAAAACAATAATTTCGTTTCACCAACATTTGCATAAAAATCGGTTCAGCCACGAATGAGAAAGTTAAGCCCTTGCAGAGTATTAGATTTAGAAACATTCGATTCTAGCACAAAATTAGAGTGGACTAATCCGAATGTATTTTCTAATTCCCAGTAGTCCTGTCTCACTACGCCTCAGTATTTTTAAATTTAATATAACAAAATTGATCCCCCAATTTCGTGGGGGATTAGTAGAAAACTAGAATATGCAATCATATACCTGTAAATTAAATAAGACGGAAGCGGTATATACCCCGTATGGAACGGTTGAGAACCTCAAAAATAGAAGGGAAAGCCTGTTGATTCAAGAAAGTCCACTTTACCCGTTGTTTTCATGGCAGCCGGACAGTTTGGCGAAAACTCTTTTGGCGTAACATTTTCGCCAAAAAAATCACTTTTGGCGAAAGAAGAAATTCGAAAATTTCACTGTATTTTTGACATAATTTGTTTTTCGTAACATTTGGCGAAAATGACGAATATGTAAACGGCATGTCCTGTCATAAAAATCTTAATCTTTTCATTATTTTATCTACATGTATAGTCCATGGTCCATCGATGGACCACCTCAAGAGGTGAATCCATGGACCACTTGTGGCCAGTGGACCATGGTCCATTGCAAGCTATCTTGTAGAATACTTTGAGAATATACATATAGTTACTACATGTAAACCAACAATTTTCCAATCGCTTTGTGGAACGTGCATGAACATTCTAAGGCAGGAATTCCACGCACTTCTAATTTTGTTGAGGGTTGGCATAATAAGTTTCATAAAAGAATTAAGGTTCTTAAACCACCCATTTGCAAGTTTATGTATTGTCTACAGCCGGAGCAAAACGCTAATGAGAATATTGTTCATAAAATAGATATAGGAAATGTTCTGCCAAAGTTACAAAAGAAAAAATATAGGAAATGAAAACAGTTTGTTCGGGAGGTAATGAGTAAGTATAGGACTCGATCTAGTCCTGCGAATTTTTATATTTGGTTATCTAAGCTTATGAAAAGCGTTCCGGATGATAAGGTATAATTACTGTAAGTCTGAATTATTAAATGATTTTACATGAATTTATTGATATATTTTAAGAACTTTGACATGAATAAATGCGAAATCTATTTTTCGCTTAATATGAAACAAATTTCGCCATTCGGTACTTTAATGGGTTTTTGTGCCAATTTGGCTAATTTTTTTTTCGCCAAAATGGTTTTCGCCAAACTGTCTGCCAATCGTTTTCATATGGCCATGTCCACCGTTTCCACATTCAGAATCCCGTGGCCTTGTGGATAAAAATTTGCTTCGTCAGTTTTTTATGATGTTTTTAGCCCGACCCAGGGCTTATGTACCCGTGATGTCCCTCCGTCTGTCCGTCCGACTTGCGGTAACTCTCTTCAAACTTATCCGATGGACTTGAAATTTGGCACATACTTAAAACGTGCCAAATTAGGAATCAAGTCCTTAATCAGTCGCCAGCCTTGTCGAATTTTTTCCATCACATTCTGAAACATATTTTTCAACCAGTTCATCAAATCCGTAAAAAATCCTCCAACCGACGACCAGAACGTGACGACATCTTCCTGTTCCTCAGGGCTCAGTGTGGTCAACTCATCTTTCGCCACTTGTCTCTGCTCATCGAGTTTTTTCTGCATGCGGTCAAAGATCTGGTCTATTTTTGCCTGATTTCTGCGAACAACATCGTCACCAGTCCCAACCTCCAGATTGGCGTTAGACTTTTCCTTCTCAAACATGGCCATGAACCTAGAGACGAACCCTTGACGAGCTTGGGAACGATGGGCAGCACCCGGAAGTTGCCCAATGGTAGCGGCGGTTTGATGGAGTCTCAAACGCAAGACGGGAACTTCGTCTATTCCACCCACGACTCCTACTACGGTTCTGCTCGCCATGTTCATGAACTAGGAAAAAAATACGGACAAAAATTAATTATGAAAATTATTAGTTATAATAATTACGTAGCTATATTAAATTTAAGTCTATAAGTATCTTCCATTGAATAAAAAATAAAATGTGTGGCTTAAAATTTTTGCAAGATACGTACAAATCAAAGGAAACTACACTCACAGATAAGATTTGTAGGGCGTACGACTCTACCGCGATGGTGATAAATATACCACCGGTTGGTTGCCATTACAACCAGATTGGTTATAACTGAAACCAATTTGGTTACATTGACAACCAGTTGGTTTCAAATTTATTACCAATCGTTAATAATTTTATCACCATGGCGATAGAGTCATATACGTCTAATTTCTGGTGATAATCCTCACCCAATTTCTGTGAGTGTACAAACAGTGTTAATTTATATAGGTTGTGGAATAACACTATTTTCATGTGCAGATATTTATAATTTTCTGAATACCCGTATTTATATAATAGCTTACCAATTTATATTTCAGTGTACTTATATTATTCCTTATTAGAAATAAATTTTTGAAGATAAAAAAAGCTTGATTAATACGTACAAGTTGGATGCCAAGTTGCTACTGAACATTTGGACAAAGTGTGCAAATACCATGATACAAGCCCTCATGAGTTGTATGTGTTTATATGCCATCAAGATCCAGACATTTGCAAGAAATGTCCAATAAGTATAATCTACATACGTTTAATTCTGTGCCATCCGTACATTAAGATATGTAGAATTAGGGGAGCGTGCAACACGGGAATTGACTGGATCTCATGGTTTCTCTCTCTGTCCTTCTCATGAGATTTTTACATTTGTCCCATTACCACCTCATGAGAAGGGAGACGAGAATTTGGGAAATGGTGTCGTGTGCAAGGTTGAAAATATTTCCCTCTGTATTTATGTACGTGCATTTATCTTGTCTGCTGTAAGCAAATACATTTGTTACTTATAAGTTTGGTACACATACGTATGTACGTATACGGAGGTGTATTGTTTGTTACAGTTACATACATACGTACGTTGATCAAAATTGAATGGGTTTCGTAATCTGTTCAGTGATATGCGAAAGTCTACATGAGAGATTAATAATATTTAGAGCTCATTTAATAGCTTGATTATTTATTTAGGATGGTATATGATAATATTTAGGATGAAGCAAGGAAATAAACAAGGTCCTCAAAAACGGGAAATACATAATAATGAGGGTTGTGTGTGATAACACGAAATGAATTTTTAGACCGAACATTTCCATCGATCGCCATTAACTACATACTTATAAAATGGATAATTTTATTTTCACGAGTAAAGTAATGTATTCGAAGAGTTTCAGTGTAATTTTACAATCTGTGATCTTAAAAAAAGCTGACTACAGAGGAGTCGAACATTTCAAGTCCCTAACCTTAAAAAAATCCTAACCTAAAAATCATGGAAAAAAGTTACTTACAAAATTGCCACAACCATGCCCAATTCCAGTCGGTTTCATAAACTCCTAACTGTTTTCGTAGTTTTCATCAATTGTAAGGTTTAATTGCCACAAAAGTTATAATGATTATATTACAACAATTTGTCTGTTTACAGGCAAAGTTCGCATAGAGACGATGCAACTGTACATACATCCCGAAAGTGCATTTCTTGTCATCGCACACAATACTAACTAAGATTTCCCGTTTTTAGGACATTGTTTATTTAATAGTTAATTTATTTGAGTAATTGAGTGATCTATCAAATACCACGCATTATCCAATTGTAAATATTTGCATTTATGTTCATATTCCTTTGTTGTGTTGCTATGTTGTCCATATGACATTTAATTTTGCATCACTGCATAATTCCTATTATTTAGCTTATTTCTTTAAGCTATGTGCCAAATTTCAAGTTATCGCCTGGATAGACTAACAGACAGACACACAGACAGTCGGACAAAGTAGGCTAATAAGCCCTGTCTTGGGTTAAAAAATTTTCCTACAGAGAGTTAGTTAAACTGTGATATTGTCAGGAGGCTTTTAAAATCTATAATTTTTGCTGTACTTGTTTCTGGATTTGTTTATGGCGTAAAAATTTTGAAGAAAGGGCATTGTAAAATAACATGTCCTAAGAGAGATCGATGTAAGGCACGTTAGATAAATAATGCCATCGTTTGTAAGAAGTTTGGTCTACACACGCCACGAATTTGTATAGGTACACAGGCTAAAAGGTATATAATCGTACTTTACTAATTAAAACTTGTCGGTGGACTTTCACGAACGACGCTATTTTTGTAAATTGGGAGTAAATACTTATCTCAGTATTTGTCCATAAGATGATAAATTAATGCTCAAACAGGTTGAAAATATGTATTCCGTTCGGTAGTCCAACCTGCTGTGACATGTGAGGTCTAAAGGGTTTACATAAATTTTAAATATTTTAGCAAATGGGACCTAAATATATTGATTTGCAGAGATGGTTGTAACGTACTTAAGTAAAAAAAAATTTAGTTGGATATGTACATGCATTACGCGTCTAGTTTTCACTTCATGTAAAAAAATAGGTTTTATGTATATCGACCCGTTCAGTAAAGTCACAACGGAGGTATATGTAAAGAAATTTCTCCAAACCAAACTTTTCAATTTTATCCAGTCAATATGCCATCCAATTCTTTACTAGGGTAACCAATACATATTTGTAGTAGTATGTAAAATACGCTAAAAATACGCCAAGTATTTATTAAGAATTGTACACATATTTAGGTTAGTATTACGTACACACCATATTTTATGGTTGGAAGGTTTATTTGTGTAGGTTTGTTAGATGTGTTTTAGGTTTATAAAAGGAAATTATTTGGGAAACATTACAGTGGATGAGCAACTTAACTGCCTCAATAATTATTTCCTAACATTGCTGCATGCCCATATATTTACATACTTGTCATGGTCCAATTGATTAGTTCCTTATGATATTTCTACAATTCAATAAGATAACAAAACTTTCCACCCATTTTATGAGCCTTCTAGTACTTCTGTGTTTTTCAAGATTCCTCCGCACATCTAATGGGACCCAGGTACTGCCCGTATTTAACGTCTTGTTGAAGAATCTGGTGTTATGTGATGTTCAAATAATACACATTGCGCCCAAGAGAAGCATAGACTGGTTCAATATCAAAATTCCTGTGAAGATCGTAGAAAAAAGTGACAACTCGCGTAGAGCTGTGCGCTTTCTGATAGACATATTCAAATCACGATCAGCTTTGCATTGTAAATTCGTTATTTTTATTTCACCGTTTTCTCTGAACCCGAGGGAACGTGAATGGACGAAAAAATTGGAGGAATGGTTCCAAACAGCGCATGATGGGCACTTACGTTTTTTCTCTGGAGAGGGTTTTGGTAAATATCCCATACTTATTAGATGTAGAAATTCCGTGATGACGTTTCTTGCTCCGAAAACTGTGGGAGACAAATACGATCGGTTTTATTTTTGGGCTGGTAGATATTTTACATTCAGTGTTCTCTTCATTTCAATCAGGAATAAACTCAAAGTTTGCTTCTGGTTCGAAAATGGAACAAATGAAGCCAATCTGGAATATCATCTAAAACGGGCGTTGTTATTAGATTTGGATAAACGTTTGAATCTCAACAGATACAGTGTTTTTCAACTTACTAAGGGTTACGCGATACGGACAACTGAATGGTGCTATCGACACGATACCAGTTCTAGCAAAGCTTACTTGGAGTTTGATACATTGCGAGAAAATCATAATAATCCGTTCGACCTGAAGATTTATAAGCCACCGCAGCAAATTATTCTAGGGATAGTTTTCAATAAAGCAAACGAAACAATTGTTTTTAAGCCTTGCGGCAAACACGACGCCAGACTGGTTGATGACTACAGCAGCGGAACACATTTTGATACAGCACTAGTCGTAACAACTCATGATCGTGTTTTTGAATTCGTAACCTGTTATCGGGAGGAATACATTACTTTTAAATTTTATGTTACACCCTTTAAAAAATATTTATGGCTATCAATACTAATTTCGGTAATAGCAATTATTGTGACTACGAAAGCCCATGCACACTATGTTGAAATCCCTAACACATCACCATGTTTTTGGCTGTTTGTTCTTGCCACCATTTTAGAAGAATGTGGCTACCTACCTAGTAAAATTGAACGACATTCATTTATTCGTCTAGTTCTTGGCTTCTGGTGTTTAATGTCAGTCATTCTTACCAATTGCTACAATGGAATAATGATATCTGACCTTAACGCTCCGCGGGAATCATCTCGGCTTACCTTATTTGACAACCTACTTTGTGAGAGACTAACAAAGGCCGATGCATTGAAGATATACAAGCCGATGTGGGATAATATGGTTAGACCCCCATCCATGTTGATTAGGCCGGGAGAAACCCTACCAAAATATGGATATGATCGAATTGCTTGGTATATTAGAATATTAATGTAAATGCCAACAACTTTTCTACCCTATTCCCATAGATGGAGAGGGCATATAGACTATGGCGAATTTGAAAACCCATTGGCTTCAACAAAATGTTTCCACTTACTGTCCCTTCCTACACTATATGACTCAGGGTACCCCAACATTCCTGAATTTTTAGAGTACTTAGTAGATTCTGTTTTGACTCAAATAGTAGGATTGAGGTATTCTGTGGCATCTGTTGGTGCGCATTATTGGGCCCAAGCTATGGATCTGCAAGTGCTAAATTTATTTGATCCAATTTACACTCATCATTCCAAAGGTTTTAACTACTCAAATCCTAACGAGACATTCGTAAAGTTACAAAGAAATGTAGAAACTGAATTATTACAGTGCAGGAAGTCAGTCTTTATTTCAACTTCAGATATAATTGGCGCAGAACTGGCTTTCCTTTCTAAGTATTATAGCGCAAAAAGGTTCTATAAAGGGAAAGAAACCTTTGCTACACGTAGTTATCGATGGTTAATTGTGCAGCCGGGTTGGTCCAACGTACCGTACTTCTTCGAGGGTGTTGTAGAGAGTGGAATATATCGACGACTGCAATTGGAAGAAATACACCAGAAAAATTTACGTCGAAAACCTGTTAGAAAGGAGCAGGATAAAGGATCACTTGCGCTTGATGGAGCAATCTTGACACTATTCATTCTCTGTGGAGGAACCATTTCCTCATCAAGTCTAGTTTTTATAGGGGAAATTCGTCAAAGAATTGTTGCAGTTATTTTGAAGCCGTTATTTTTCTTTGGAAATCAAGTGTTACATATTTACTATAAATGTAGAGTTTTTTACAAGGTACTACGTTTAGCAATTGAGTATGTAAATACGCATAACTAGTCCACACATTTTCTTATTTGATATATATATACTGATTAACTTGAACTTAGGATTAGTTACATAGTCCTTACTTAATCCTTAGCTACCTCAAAATTAGGCTATTATTAGGCACAATAATTAACTAAATTTGGTAGGTATTTAGATAACATGTAAAGTAGTAAAAATATAATTAAAATATTTATGATTCAACTCGGTATGATTTAACTTCGCACTTGGAAGTCTGTAAGACTGTAGGATAACCGTCTGTCACCAAATGGACGTAAATTCTTTTGAAACGTTTAATGGTGAAAACGACAGAGATCAATCCAAATAAAAATATTCAAGCACTTCCTTCCCAAAAACAAATAATTATGTATGTCTAATAGATTCTGCATAAATAAATATAAGCGGTAGTCTTAGTTAAAGATCATGTAGATTATAATCGATTACGATTATAATCCGGAACTGTGAGTGGACAGATCATCTCTCCCGATCAATTACATAACTGATTTATTTTTGGCAACAACAAAAATATGTAGTCACCCGATCTACAATTTTTGTTGCAAAGTGGTAGCAAAATGGTAGCAACTTGAAACAAATAACGGTGGCAAAATATTTGTTATTTTAACGTGATTCCACAGTATGAAAAATTACTGTTAACTCTTCAAACCATTCTGCTACATAAAAATAACAGTAAAATTCACGCAACTTTTCATGAAAATTTCAACGAGAAAAGTTGCGTGGATTTCAACCAAATAACAACCGTGGTATTCACCAAAACATGGCACGAAAAAACAACGCAGATTTAACCTGGAATGGTAACAAAGAGAATGCGCGGAATCCAAAGTTTTTGCCTCCACTCCATCTTTCTCTCTCACAAAGTCAGTTCAATTAATTTTATTTCCAAAATGTCATCCCTCCCAGTCAATAAATTTTGTATTATACAGATTGACTGTAACGGCGAAAAATTTGTAGAAATAGCTCCCACGATTTGGCTGGAAGAGGAGGAAAAGTTCGTGTTGTGGCCACCAGCTTCTAAACTGAAAAGTTTCAGTAAAAAGGGAAATGTATATCCCCTCCCATCCTGGAGGAGACAGACGTATCAGAAAATCCTTGGAAAATATGGTGAATATCATCGATTTAGTTCAATTATTAAAGTAATGTAATTGATTATATAATTTAAATAAAAATAATCTCAATTGCAGATACTTGGAAAGTAGCTTGTGAGAAGGTTAAGATTGCGGAGGACACTTCCAATCTTGAGAGTGCGTCAGAGAATCATTTGAAAGGCCGAAAGCAGAAACATAATCGAGAATTGTCGCACCCGAACGTGTCATTAAGCAGCAGCGAGGACGAGAATTCCATTCTAGTTTTACCTCCTCCCATGAACGATGAAGGTAAAATATCTTGTTTATTAATAAATGCTTAACAAAAATAAGTTTTCAACCATTCACTTCAATCCTCTTAGGAAGCACTGAAGTACAACTATCAACTCAAATTAACGACAACATTCCTTCAATAAATCTACCAGAAGTAGTCAACTTGGAAGGAGAAGACATTGGCGTGCTTTTGGCCAATGCCAGCTTCAGCAGTTATAAATGATTTAAAGAAATTAATTGAAGGCAAATCTTTGCTTAGTTTTTACAGTTTTTATCATGTTAAACATTTAATACCAAAATAATGTAATTTTTGTCGCAGGTTATAATAAAAGAATTATCAAAATTCTTGAGCGCCAAAACGCAGAAATTCTAGAGATAAGAGCAACCCTACATAATATCCGAATATCGAACGACGGGGAAGTTGAAGCTGATTTTTCATCTATTCCACATCATCATCTGGAGACGAGAGAACACCTTGAACAGACTGAAAATTGGCTGAAATTTGCCGACGCAAATCGAGATTTATTGGTCAGATTCGAACTTTTTGATTAATTATTCAATTTCATAATTTTGTACCAATTCTGAATAATTCTGATCTTCCAGATTGAATACCTAAGAATAAAAGGAGGCGATACTGTTGAGAAAAATACGAAAAGGGCGTTTAAAAAATTAGTCAGCCCTGAACTTGCTCGACAAATAAATTACACTGGAAAGGGAGGAAAAATTACTTTAAAACCTTTGGGAATTTTCTCGGTTGTAATTGGTTCGTTATTTCATATTTATTTGATTTTATTGTAACACAATAGTTACTACAAGTAATTATGTACTCTTTGATTAAATAGAAAGTGTGAGAAAAAATTATCCTGCTGCAACGGACAACATAATTGAAAAAGCAGCAAAAGATTTCTTCCGTTTTATAAAAGTGTAATATCGTCATGGCGTGTCAACCCGGATTTTCAGCAAGAAATATAAGAAAAATAGTTTCAAAGAAAGTACGTGAAAATATTGCAGAATTACATGAAGAACTAACGTCGTCTACACAACATAGTAATAGTACAGTGTTTTGTCAAAATTAATAATAATAATAATTAATAATAATAATTATAGCTCAGGGACTGAATCAAGTGATGTTAGCGATAGCGATATCAGTTTAATTAGTCGTGTAACCTCGGACTGCAGTCAGGAAGGAGAAGGATAAGGATAATTGAGATAATTGTGATAAGGATAATTGAGAAAGAAAATGTTCTCTTGTCTCAACCTGTGTCTACTTCTACCTCGTTTAAACTAACCCGTAATGACAATTGTTATAAGTTTAAATCAGGGTTTATTGTTGTTGTATCAGAATACATTGAAGATAGTGAAGTCATAGTATGTAAGAAATTCAAAAAGCTTGAAGACCTGTACAAATATCCCAGTTCCAGTTCTATTTTAGGCATACATCAGGTTTCAAAAATATCAGAGTTTTAGAGTAAATGTAAGCCAAGTTGAAGCAAAATGTTGGTTGATGTCATTGGATGAAAAATTAATTGTTGTTCCTTTAATAAATTGTTAGTATAAATAATATAATATAAATTGTTAATAAATTGCGATTTTATTTCCAATGAACTGCGAAAAAACTACCGTTAATATTTTGCATAAATTACCATGAATGCCACCGTGGTTTTGAAGTAAACATTACTGTGGATTTGTTGCAAATGCCACGGTTATTTTATTGTTACTTTCCACGTTAAAATAACGTGAAACCCACCGTGGTTTTCTTGATGTGTTAGTTGTTGAAACCCACGTTCGAAAAACGGCCATCAGTTGCAATTCTGCAACTCAGTTATTTTTGCGTGGATTTAACGAAAATTGTAGATCGGGCATGACATCGCCGCTTTTCTTTCAACATTCCTTAGAAAAGACGATTATAATCCAAAGTAATCGTATATTTAGACGATTATTTTTTTGCAAAATATAATCTAATCGCTAGTGGAGAATTTTCACCCGATTATAATCAGGAATCGATTATAATCTACATGATCTTTAACCGTGACTACCGCTATAGTCCATTGCTTATATAAAGTAAATTGTGCATAAAAATTTGTATTCTTGAGTATTGATTTCTTTCTTGGCACGGTCGCTCGCACAACAACTTTTAACGTTTAGGATTTCAGATAGATAGATAAATTTATTTATGAAATTTATGAAAATATGCTCGTTCATTTTCCATTTGTTAGTTAGCAGTTGTGTAGGATGGTAACTTTTCCTAAAACTACCTTCCTCAGGATTGACGAAAATAATACTCAAGGTTGATTTAAATTTCCCCAACTTTTAGTTTGTATAGGTTAAGCTGCATCATCTTGAAATAAAATACGTCAAAAAATTATTACGCCAGTAGATATTAAAAAAATACAAACAGCGTCCTACTTCTAAATACATATCTTGGTTCAATACATACAACTTGAAACACAGTTACGACAGGGGGAAGGACAACACAAATCAACATTCTCTCCATAATATGCTTAGTAAAAAAATCAATAGCCAAAATTTGTTTAGATTAAATTTTTAATAAGCATAGTATTAATCGGTCATAGTTTACATTTCTTCTTCGTATGATCCTCGCTGACGATTGCCAACCCACCTCAGTTTTTGGTCCTTAATTATTTTTGTTCAATTTTCCGATGGATTTCATCAAAAGTTGCAACACCGGAAGGAATCAAGTGATCTCAAAATTGGGACGCTTTCTAAGTAAATTACTCATTACACTTTGGTTTTTAAGCAAAATTTAACAGACCTCCAGTCTTGACAGGAATATCGGTGGTCTACTCCTTCCGGTAGTTTGGCACCAGTCCAATTTGGAGGATGGGATTACAAAGACATTAATGGGCTCGGCATGTACTGCATCAGTTGGAAAAAATATAAATTTTTGTAATAAAGTAAATACACATAGAATGCAATATTTAATAATTCAACCAAAATTTAATTATTTCCCCCACCCTTTTTCTCACCACCCCCTTTGCAAGCTTCTGCAGCACCGTCGAACACGTTTTTGCAACTTTTGCCGCATCCACGTCAAGATTGACCTTGGCATCAATTTTGGAATCACAGTTCGACTTCGATTCCGACTTGGACTCGGAGCTCCCCATTTTCTTCTAAACTGCAAAATAAATATATATGTCTTTAATTTATAATTTTATAATAAAAAATTCAAATACACATTAATATAAATATCTAAAAAAAAGTCAGTAATAAACTTTATGTAATAAACCTCTAATTTTAAGAAAGAAGGATCACGTCACCAATTCCTTCTTGGCCTTATTTCAAGTTGTGTAAGGTTTGTGTGCAAAAATTAAAAAGGAAAGTCTTAAAATATTTATTGCTCGCTGGTTTTCATGTTTGTGGATCAGTTCCTATGTCTGACTGGCAGAACTGGAATAAACACTCAGATATGTACAAGGATTCAGTGGTTTTCATGAACATATAGCGTTTACCACGAGCATGTTATATGTCTCATGAAGTCTCACTTCTTACATGGAACGGATGGGTTGACCTGATTGAGAAGAACCAAATTTACGTACATACAGACTTATTTATATACGGTTATATATGTACGCGTGATTATGGGTTCACACTGTGTTTGAGGATTTGCAATCTTACATACATATTTTCATCCAAATACCAACATAACACTTTTGTTGTTTTTGTCATTCGTCAGGTCTTATAACAAAGTCTTAAATGCTTTAGCAAAACTGAGATTATTTCTTTATTCCGTAATGTCTTTGATTTTGTGCGTGAAGATTTTACTCTTGTAAAAATCACACGTAGGAAATACTTTATGGACAATTATTTAACATTTCCCATCAGTATAATATAAAAGTATAATAGTTTAGAATATATTTAATATATTTTTATTTTTACAATATTTGTTTCGATAATAAGTGCCTGGTGATTTGGGCCTTTATCATATTTTTTAAACGCTTCAAGGTTAGTAAATATATTTATATATACAAATAAGTATGTAGGTAAAAAAAACTTTACTTCTTGAGCAATATATGTATTCATTTTGTGGAATGCATGCACCACGAATAAGACGTGGTATGCAATTTTAACTTTGTTATAACCCTCTCAACCTAAGAAATTCACTTTTTTTGCAAAATTTTATTTTTAAATTTAAATTTTATTGCCCTATGTAGATACATGTAGTGCCAGAATTTTTGACGTCCAAATTGGTACTCTTAGCACGGAAAGTACAAGCACCTGGAAATAATTTTTAAAAACGTATTAACTATTAATCTATCTGAAAATTTTGTTACCAGGAAACTTGAACTTTCAGAAACTTTGACGCAAAGGTCTAACCTAAACAATTTCAAATCGATGTGCATATTACCAAAAGAACTTGCATTAGTTACCATGCTAGTAACAGGGTAACAGGCTGTTACCATATCGTGTCGACATTTTACTCATGAAAATATTGTATAAACATATTTATTCAAAAGTGTTAAACTAAATAAATACATAATTATTTTCTTATATTCTTTGTAGAATACCAATCCGGAATTCAAACTATGGGTGGAAATAATTCCAAGGCTGAGCTCCGTGAAGGTGAAGAACATTTGGACTTAATTCACGTTCCATTTTTGGAAGGGTCGCATTTTGAATCATATAAATGGGGAAAAGTACACGAATTACTGCATACCTTCCGACCTGGTGATTTAATCGCGGTTTTTAGAAATCCGGAAGTGAAACACTTTACCGTCTGCTTAACGGATGGCTGGGTAATTCATTTCTACGCCAAGGGACGACAAGGCAGCAAGGCGGATACAATGGCAATTTTTGAGTATTTGGTCAACAGCACGATACTTGGAAATAAGGTAGTGATTTTAGAAAATTTTATGTGTGAAAAATATTTTGGTAGTTCAAATTGCCTGGTTGTCGGAACACGTCTGCATGCTTCGCTGGCCGCGGAATCGTGTGGACACGAGGACAATGCCTCCACAGTTTTTGGGGTTCCCATAATCTAATTCTGCAATGTTAATGTGGCGAAATATTCTCACAGCTTCCGCGACCACTCGTCTGCTTATCTATACATATTTTTCAATTATTTGTATGTCAAGAATGTACCTGTTTTAAGCACAATTGTATGAAACAAGTGTAGCAGCTTACTTTAATTCAGTCTATGACTTTAACCTCTGTACATGCAAACTTGAATCCTACCATAATATAAGTTCAACTATTTAGTAATTTCCGAATATATGTATGTATGTATATAATCAGTTTAAAATATTATAAGTAGTTAACAAAATTAATGTATATACTACGGGAGTATCAATTTCAGTCCTTACAAGTAAATTATGTAAATATCACAAATCAACGTAAAAATCAAGTCATATCTAAAATTTCTTTACAATAATTAACCTGACATGTTAAGGAACTCCTAGAGAAAGCTAATCTCACCAGGGTTTAACCTTATTTCAGGACTCCACCGATAAAGAGGGTGTGGTAGCATTGGAGAAAATCAAACATGTCGCTGGATCCGATTCTTGTGCCGTGGTGAACAACAACAATCACATGTACTTCCATTTGTCCTTTACCGGGAAGCGACTCGTACGACGATCAAACGAAGCCATCGTCCAAGCCGCAAGGGATGCCTTTGATAAAGCCAAGTCTCACGGTGCCCCAAAATACAACTTGAAGTTTTACAACTGCGAGCACTTTGCGATGGAGTTGAGATACGGGGTGGCAATGTCCGTCCAAACTGGAGACTTTAATGGATCCGTTCCAAAGGATGATTTGTAAACCGGAAGTTGCTTACCTTTTCTGGATGTATACATATTTATCTGAATCATGAAGCTGTTCCAGAGCTATTTTTTGTTATTGAAAATATTGTCAACATATCATTGCCAAACATACAAATGTATTGACAAAATTCGGGTACAATTAAATATAATTGAACATACTTATTCATAAATATGAAGTTATTCATTAACCAAGCAAACCCATTTGTGTCCATTTGGCTATAATAATACAAAAATGCTTCAGAATATATTATGCGATTTACAACTAACGATTTCTATGACCTCGAAAATAAACAATTCGTACAGAGGTTCATCTCGAGTGAATGAAAGTGTCGGTGCAATAAAATTATTTAGACCAAACATACGAGTTTAGAAATTTTTGTTAGGCGACATTGCAATGTTAAATACATTGAAAACTCAAGTTCGAGAATTTTTTAAAATTATTGATGGATTCAAAATTGAAAAGATTTTTCAAATATTCGATCCTGGGGTAAATTAGGAATTACTCAGTGGAAAATTTAAATTTAAGAAACATGGTGTCTAATTATGAAACCCCGACCATATAGGGAAGATCCTGGGTTGCACCGAACTAGTGTATCACAAGAGATATTTCCGCCGCCAAAAAACCAATTCAAATAATTTGTTCTGTATTATTAGCACAAGGAACTAAATATCCTAGCATGGTAAAAATTTCAAATTGATAGGATGTCCCGTTCTCAAGTAGCACGAAGGGAAAGTGAAGCGTTTGCAAAACGAGTTTTGCATTTTTACATTTTTGTTGGAAAGCGTGACTCAAAGTTGACGTGGCGCCGTTTCAAATAAGAAAATTTAAAAATTGCAAATATTTTTTCTTATACAAAAAAGCACGAGGAATCCAATGAAATAACTTTCAAATAGATCCCGTGACTCAAACAAAAGATACAGACCGAAACCTGCTCAACGACAGCTAAAAAAACTTTAATGACATAGCTTCCACAAAAGTCGTCCAGGTTTTTAAAAAAATTAAGATGAATAAATCCAGGTTAAACCAAGTTAAAGTAGAGAGGTTGGGCGACACGAAAAAAAATAAAAGAAAAGTAGGCCCATACCAAAAAAGGTAAAAAATCAAAGATTCATAGTTCGTGTCAAAAAAATCTACAAAACACGACAGGAAAAGTTATCATCACCAATGACGAAAGGTATGTCCACCACACTCCTGCTGATGGTCCAAGTTATATTTTTTTCACTTGACCAACCTTAATGAAGAGCCCCATGAAGGTCAATTCAAATTTGAAAGCAGGTATCCGAAAAAATATATGATATATCAAATTCCGGTCGGACATTTTTGGAAGCCTTGACTTCAGCTAGTACTATTAAAGAGATTCGTGATATATGTGAAATGTGTATGTTTCTTAGGCTGCAATATTATGAATTATTTTCTATGGGAAATGAGATGTATGGTTCGAGCACAGTTGGTTAGGTTAAAAGCTATAAATAACAACTTTATTATTCTTTCTTAACCTATGCGTACATATGACTACTTACTTACTAGTATTTTGATTATGATTATTAATTGCTAATTGATGCAGAGGCAAAATGAGAATTTACAAATTGCATGCATGTAAACTTACTCTCATTATTATTGAGGCAAGGTGAGATTCATGAAACCTTATGCAAAAACTGGAGGAGAAATACTCCAAACCCAATTCGCTACTCTCTCCACTACCACTCTACCATTAAACTTAAATGCCTATACAGCACCTATATATGAGTTTCTACACAACTATTGTCTTAAATATGCGCTTGGGGAAATGTGTCAAAGGCGTCCTGGAACCCCTCATATATGAGTATCATTTTCCAGAAAGTTTCATCTTTTGACCTCATATGGGCTTCTGTTACCATGCAAAATTGTAAGCATGTACCTAAAGTCGAAAAAACTCATTTTTCTCACTCGTGAGGGAACGCTCCGCAACCTCCTTCAATGTCCCCCAATCGAATGATTTCGGGGATATTTTATAAGAAGGTACTCAAATGAAGAAAAGGCACTGCAAGGATAGACAAGCATCAAGATAATGTGGAAAAGAATCAGCTTTCCACACCCAAGTAGCATGGAAAAGTGTAATTTCAGATGTTCAGAAGAAAGTGGGTGTGGTGGTGTAAAAGGGATGTAAATCAACAAATGGCTTATGGCGTGCCGTAGCTAATGTCATAAGTCAACCCTACACCAAATTTGAATTGAATATATCTATTAATGGTCTAGATATCGACATTTTGGTCAAGTTCGGTGCATCCCAGGATCTTCCCTAGTGGCAGTTAACCTAATCCTGCCATTTATTTAGATGACATAGCTAAATAAATTATAAATAAGTTTTTATAGTCTTTCATTCCACAGCAGAAAGGGATTAAAAATCTTTTTCGGTTCCAAAAATGAAAAAAAAACTTTTTGTACCTTTCCTAAAGTTTCGTTCAGTTGAGATCAGTGGACGTAAATGCATGGGAATGGGGGGATATGTCCTTTGTGCGCAACGCATTTAGTTACGAAACTTTAACGTAGGCTATCATACACAAATTTAAAAGAATGACACTGATTGCGCCAAACCATTTTAAAAATTGCTCGATTAAACTACACAACAAATTTATAAGTACAGGTGACACCTTATGATTACATAACTGCTTCTGGAGAAACAAAAAGTATCTAAATATTTTTTTTTAATATGAAATCCTAGCTTACCTACATACATTTTGGTAACCCAGAATTTTTATACCAATCCATTAAAAATGCATGCAATCTGTAATAAAATACTTTGTGATGTGTCACTTTAGCTTTTTTTCTGTACTGATCCTCTTTCATTTCTCTAACATATGTATTGTCACTAAAAGTTAGACACTGAAATACATAGGGGTCCGTCCATAAATTATGTCACAGACGAGAGGGAAGGGAGGGTAAAGAAATTTTGTGACATGCTAACTTGCGCCACATGTTAAAAGGGGATGTAACCCGTGACAAGAGAGGTGGGTGGGTCTGAAAAATTGAGGTTTTCCGTGACATAATTTATGGATGACGCCTAGCTACACAAGTAAATCAAAGTAAATACAACTCCAACCAATTCCTTTACTATAAATTTACGTGAGTCTTCCTCTTTTAGTAGATGCATACATTTGTTCATACATCTACAAATTTATATGTATATATAATCAAGAATGGCTTTCATAACTACTCATTCTACATGAAAAAGTAACGACGCAGAATGGGACACATGGTCACCAACATTACTCACAAATTCATAAATTTTATTTAGTTAAACCGTCATCCTTGCCGGGGTTTGATGAATCCATGTCAACACAATCCACCACTGATGTACTCCACTCTCTGTGAAAACAGTTCCAAGAATTATTTACAAAAGTGTGACTAAGATTGTTACCAGCCGGTAGTAATTTACTACCATGTGGGGTGAATTGTTTACCATGCGGTGACAATTTTATCACCATGTGGTGCAGCCAGATATCCACCCCGCATTTTTGCTAATATTTTTTGCAGTGCACAAAATAATGACTTATGTCAATTTACTACTCACCTCAACTTTGATGTCCTGATCGACATCACCCGTGTCAACGGCTCTGGTGAATTCTAGCATGGTATGAGTCGAATTTTCCGAGGCAGAAACTAGATCAACATTTTGCACCCGGTCTAAATCGGGTAGTCCGGGGTGAGATGCGTATCGATCCTAAAATTAAAATAATAACTAATTTAATGTTACAAAATTTAGTACCACATATAACTAAGAAGGAAATTAAAATGAAATGGTTAAAAGAATAATTGAAATTAATGAAATTAAAGCAATCTCTTATTTTGGGAAGTAGATTTAAAAATCCTAACCCCAATATACGATTCGCCCGTGATTCCATTAAATCCACCCATCCACGCAACATCGTTCCACCCGGGGAAATTCCCCAGCCTACCCATCCCAACGTTTCTGCTGTTATTTTCACACTCAAAATTCCAGTCAAGGTTACCCTCGTTTCCAAAATGTACTTGCCCCCATTAATTGGAACCACTCCTCCCAACGTTGAGGCACAAAGGGTAACGAAAATTAAAAGTTTTATAGTTTCCATGACAACAGAAGAGAATTTTTAAGCAAGATGGTTACGTATATAGTAGCAATCTATGTAATTCCACGACTGGGGACAAATCCACAAATACATAACTTCTGGATATAAAAATAGTGCGAAAATCTGTCTCCATCACCAGTGACATAATACATATGTACCAAATGGAATTCAATTATCTTATCAACTCACAAAAAATCAATCAGTTCAATAGTTATGAAACATATTTATATAATACTTACATAACTCTCTTTATCGAGATGGCATATTGGAATTTGAACAATTTACCAGTATTTTAACGCACATATGTAGTAAATGGTACAAATAAAATATTGAGCGACTATGTACATATATCTCTACCACGAGAATGTAACAAATTATTATACTGAAATGAACCAGTTATTGCAACTTTGCCTCAACATATCCCTCACTGCACCAATACATATCTATGTAAGTACATATGCAAACCTCGTATCCACCTCAGAAAATCCGGATTTTGAAACTCCGGACACTAAAAATAAGATGGTAACATATTATAACCGGGCGGAATCACCACAATGCTTGCACCAGCATCATATGTAAAGTAAGTTCGTAAGTTAATTTATTCCGAGCGTTAGTTGTACAACCATATGCAGATTTATTAATTTCCGTTTAACTTCTATCCCAATCATACATAACATGTAGATATTTATATATAACATAAATTCTTTAGGAAACCAATGACGAAGAAATTAACCTCGGAAACCAGGCGGGCACAATACGTTAAACATCAGACAAGATACCGGAACCAGAGACATGTTTCGATTATTTGGGATTGGTACGTTAGAAAAGAACAGCCGCTCCTCCGGATCCGTCGGGGTGGCTTGACACTGTAATGAAATAGAAAATTTTGTTAATGGGGCATCGTGTGACTCGTTACATTACTAAAAATGTAACACTTACCCCGGCAACTGCAACCGCAAGAACGACAAGTAATGATACTTAGAATTAAAGATAATTGAATAATTTGAAAAAGTTCTTGGTATGATGATGTGTTGAAAAATGTTGCCATTTTATACCAAACGGCTCCGTCATCCATAACCTAAATTCGGACGTATGTCCAGCTACGTAATTCTACCTTATGAATAGATGACGTATTTAATTATCTTCATGTCTTTTATCCTTTTATAAAATATTCACCGCAATATTAACTGAATCAATAAAAAAATAAATTATTATGGTAGATATTCTGGTATGAAATTGAATTTTTTCTGCAAAGCTAATAAAATCGTTTGGATACTGAGGTACCTCAAAAAAATTCACAAGTTAATTCAGCTACGTCCATGCACAAGTATTTAATCTGACATCAACGGATACAATTACCATCACCGTTGATTATTATATATTGATTTAGATCACGAACATACTTTGCAAAATAAACACGCAAGAATGACACTAAATTAATATTTATTCAGGAACCTGACATATGTACATACAGATAGTTACATAGTTACATATGACATATCGTGGTCCTAATTCTATAACCTGCTAAGTGCACGCGACTCTTAATTTTATAACCTGTTATGTGCAGGAGAGTCTTAATTTTATAAGCTGGTATGTGCCATGTACATAACATTGCACATACCAGCTTATAAAATTAAGAGTCGCGTGCACTTAGCAGGTTATATAATTAGGACGACGATATGTAACTTAACATACACTTATGAAACTTAGCTTACGGAGGTGCGAGTTTTTTCAACTTCCCAGGTAAACCACACCACCAGCAAGCTTTATCCCAACGAAAAGAATGATAAACTCCGAAGTTAAATATGGCAGATATTTTGGATCATTTTTGAGATTTTTAATAACTAAATCAACAAATTTTAATCGACTCTCAGCCAATCAGCGCATGAGCTGAGCATCATCATCTCACCTTGCACCGCGCACTATTTTGAACTGATTCATAGCCATGTGATAGAAATAAATATTTTTTCTAGTAAAATAATCCGTCAAATTAAAAAAAAATGAATTTTTCAGTAATTAAAAAATTGTAAAAACCTTCATATAAGTATGGTATGAGAGAATACTGCCCTGGGCGACGACTGCGGACACCTCCTTGATGCGGATGAAGGGGTAGGTGAGAAACACCATCCGTGTACTCCCAAGCAAAAAAGCACAGCATTTTGCTTTTTGCTGTTTTGCTGGAAACAGCAGCTTTTTTGCTGGCTCACTTTTTCATGCTTTTTGCTGTTTTGCTGCTTTCTTAAGATGGGGAAAAGTGAGATGTATTATTAGTATATGACAGTATAACAGCAAAATAGCAAAAAAGCAGACAGCAAAAAAGGAAACCAGCAAAAAGCAGAGATTTTTGCTGCTATTTTGCTTTTTGGAATACAATGAACACCATAGAGCATGGATGGCCACACACAGGGGTATGGTTTATATATTAAAACCGTGGCCTGCCCGCCATAAGAATGCCACACAAAAAACTCCACCGTATTAATAGATATACCATAGAAGATGAGGGGCCATCCATATTTTCTGGAGAAACACGTGGACACTTTTTGTCAACAAAGTTTAAGTTGCGGGCTGACGAAGCAAATATAGAAATTGGAAAATATACCTATAAATATACCTGGTTATTACTATGTATCCGTCATAAATATGTTAATACCATGTTTCTCATATTCCATAAAAAAACAAAAGGACTTTATGATGATAAAGATGTCCCTGACATCAATTTATGTATTAATACAGGTTTACGTAATACATCCTGATAAACCAAGGCCCTTGGCTCTGAATTTAACTTTTTTCTCACAAGTTAACTTAACGTAATTAATTTAATCAATAAATTTATTTAAAATATTTCACACATCATAATTCGCCATAAAGTTTATAAGATTTTATAATATTAAGGGTAACAACAGTTTTGGTGGTTTACATACTTCATTGATTGCCAGCCACCTACGAATGTCTTTATAATGCAAAATTTATAAAATTGCAGCTTCCTCATAGAAATGCATGTATGTAAATAGATACTCAGCATACCACATAAAGCTATGTATTTAAAGCTGTGGTTCTGAATAAAATTCAGGCTAACTAAATAAAACTGTACAAATTCGGGGTGTCGGGAATCTACATATGTACACATTTATCTACATAAATGTGTAGCGGATAAAACGTTTCTGACTTTTTAGCAAGTGCAGGCGAGCCACGGCACGGCATATGTAGAATGGAGCAGATTTCCCAAGAATTTTCCAAGAATTTGTCACAAATTAAGAATGTATTGACGCCACCGTGAGAAAATTCTTGAACAGCAATGTCATAATGGTGGGACCCGTAAAATAAGGAGATTACCATGGGGATGTGGGGGATTAAAATTATGACATGTAGCCATAATGAGACAATACATTTTTAGAAGGGACGATGATAAGTGAAGTAAAATTGGTCAGGTTGGCAAAACTTGGGTGTGATGAAGTAGGGGAAAAAGCCTGCAAATTGTAGAATCCGGAGAGAAATGTATGCTCCTGAGAGGATGTTGGCACTTTTGAAAATTTTGGATGGAAGGGAAATTTCTGTCTGAAATTTGGTGAGAATGTTCATTTCGATTTTCTTAAGGATTTATTTTGGAAACCGTTGATGATAAGTTGGTGTTTTTGCGAGGATACATATACATAAATTTTGTCGTGTTGTGTCACCCGCAAATCTGTATGTTATAAAATATGTACATCAGGGTACTCCACCCCGGGTTTTTGTGGGTTTTTGGGGTATCAAATCCCGTAAAAACCCCCATTCTAAATGGGGTTTTTGCGGGTTTTTGTGGGTTTTTGTAAGTTTTTGGGGCGGGTTGAAACAAACTTCTGATATTTACATCTTAGATCAATTTCAATAACATTTTTGGATTTAGTATGAAATTCTGAGCATTTTTATGTGTGACTTGAATTTGAAGTGAATTTGAAGGATTTAAATGTAAATTCTAGTTTCCTGTTTGGTTTACATGTAAAAGATGAACTTTTAAGTTGAGAGTTCAAGTCACACATGAAAATCCTCAGAATTTCATGCTGATTCCTAAAATGTACTTAAAATTAATGTAATATGTAAATATTAGAAATTGGTGTCAAGATACCCCAAAAATTGACAAAAACCCTCAAAAACCCCAAAAACCAACAAAAACCCCAAAAACCCCGGAAAAACCCCCGGGGTTGGGTTTTTCTAGAAAAACCCCCGGGGTTGGGTTTTTCTAGAAAAACCCCCGGGGTTGGGTTTTTCTAGAAACGACAGGATGGATGACGTATTTAAATATGTGTATTTATTTTACTCTAATTTGCTGTACATACATATTTATGACTCATGACAATCATCCCAAAAATGTGTCATTTAATAAATAACGCCCTCCAGCTTATCATCTATCATGCTCGACACACAGTCTGGCAATTAATTTGGAATCATGCAAAAAAAACTTATTTAAACCACGCCTGAACTGCCTGAACATGGATTCAGTCTTACTCTGATTTTTGGCACTTGAAATACTATTTTGCAAATTTCGGAAAATTTGCAAAAAAAAGAAAATTTGTTGTCACCATGTCTCGAGTATCGATAGCAGAGCCGAGGGGTCTCCAGTGGGTGCCCATGACGAAGGGATCATTCCCCAAGTTCGCCGTAGAAGCAGGTATCGATTCAGGGAAGAAATTATACATCGCAAGAGCCTCCCATGCAGGCGGGCAGATTCCTGGAAAATTTCATGTCGGTCATACCTCTGCCTATATTGCGTATGCTGGGAAAGAAGTTAGCAAGCCGGATTATGAGGTGCATTATTGTGTTAAGATTTCCTCAGTGTACTCCCAAGCAAACCAGCACAGCATTTTGCTTTTTGCTGTTTTGCTGGAAACACCAGCTTTTTTGCTGGATCGCTTTTCGATGCTTTTTTGCTGCTTTGCTATTTTCTTAAGACGGGGAGAAGTGAGACGTGTTATTACATAGTATAAGACAGTATAACAGCAAAAAAGCAAAAAAGCAGACAGCAAAAAAGCAAACCAGCAAAAAGCGGGAGTTTTTTGCCGCTGTTTTGCTTTTTGGATTTACTTAACACAATAACAATTTTATTTTATTTAAATTAAAATTTTAATAAAGTTGATTCTAACTAAATTAAATTTTTCCGATTAATTTCAGGGATTAATCGCACCCTCGGCAAGTTTAAGCTGGGTAGCGTCCAGTAATGGACAAGTACCAGCGCATGCAATTATAGGAGGTTAGCTTTGTTGTCACCTTAAGGTTTATTAATTTTACCATGGAATTTGTAAACAGATGAAAATCGACTATTTTTTACAGTGTACTCCCAAGCAAAAAAGCACAGCATTCTGCTTTTTGCTGTTTTGCTGAAAACAGCAGCTTTTTTGCTAGGTCACTTTGTGATGTTTTTTGCTGTTTTGCTTCTTTCTTTAGATGGGGAGAAGTGAGACGTGTTATTAGTATATAACTGTATAACAGCAAAACAGCAAAAAAAGCAGGCAGCAAAAAAGCAGACCAGCAAAAAGCAGGAATTTTATGCTGTTATTTTGCTTTTTGGAGTACACTGATTTTTTACGACTAAATTTTAATTGGTTGATAAATCGTCTTTTTAGCCCGAGTCAGGGCTTATGTACCCGCCTTGTCCGTCTGTGTGGATGTGTGTCTGTGTGTCTGTCTGTCACGGCGATAACTCTCTTTAAACTCAACCTATCGACTTGAAATTTTGCACGCCGCTAAAAAACTGAAAAAGTAAGGCTAAGTTCGTAGATGGGCTTGATCGGTCAAGTGGTTGATCATACCCATACCGATTTATCAAAATCATCCAATCGAGCTGAAATTCACTATGCTAGCTCCAATATATTTATACATTTACATGATAAAGTAAAATCTGAAAATTTTTCAACTGGAGGACCATATTGGGTGATCCATACCGATTTTCAGAAATGGTCGTATCTTCTTGAAATTTGATATAGCTGGTCCTTAACTCTTTCTCAGGACATAAAATGATTTTAAGAGTCAATATGATGCAGACAACAGGGTATATACAAACTGACTCGGGCTATATGAGGCTGCACTGGAGGTTTTTCTACATTCCCTAGGTAGGGATCCGAGTGGCGAGAATTATTATGTTGGTCGGGTTGTGATAAATCGAACCGTTACTGTCGGCAAGGTGCATCCGTCTCACAATGCGTGCTACGTTCCATATGGTATTTTTTCAAAATTTCTAGTAATTTATG